TTATGTGATAATACAGTCTCTTTAATTCTATAAACAGACATAATTTCTTGTTCAGTTACAAAGTTCCACTGTTCAAGTCCTATAATTGCTGTGTCGAGAATACTGACTATTTTGTCAATTGAAATTTTTTCACTTTCAATAACCTCTGTCCCTTTCTTCGCTATCGGAAGCGAATTATAATGACGAGGAATTTGATTTAAATCATATCAAAGACGGAGTACCTGAGATGAAATACTACATTTAGTAAGGAATTATAAGCCGAATAAAATAAAAACATCAGCCCTGAAGATAAGGATAGTGCTGACAGATCAACTTCCAGTTCATTGCGAGCCGCGTCGTCCACCCCCACCCTCCGCAGACCAGCGTGAAATTGATAAACATATTTCGGAATGGTTAGAGAATCAAAGGATATGCCTTTATCCATTTTTTGCAGCAATTCCACTTTTTGCTTGATGGACATCGAAACATGCTTTCCCTTTGTAGATCCAGCATCGGAAATTCTATTTGACATAATCGAAAGTTCCAACTTACTTTTATAAAATTGTTCTAACAGTCTGCAAAAAATATAAAAAGCCGGATCCAATTCGAACATTAAGGAACAACGCAATCTGAAACATTAACTGAAATAGATAATTAGATAATTTTAGCTTAGCTTATACCGTCCGTTATACATTAAACGCGAATGCGTAAACGAATTACGCGCATGCGTACACGCATATGCGCATGCGTAAAGTTATTACGCGCATGCGTCAAAGCATTTTGCGTCGACGCATGCGCAGAAAGTTTGTTGCTTTGAGGTCCGGATTATAGATATTTTAGATCATTCCGGATTATGGGTGTCCGGATTAACGACTCTTGACTGTAATTATCTCTTGGTAGCGACGCCTTCAGTTAACGCTCCGTCACCAAACTCTGTGAATGAATATTTTGGCTTTCGCCATTTTGCTAGACGACGAAAATACGCGCCAATAAAATTTTAAACCAGCTTAAGTAGGCCAATTTTTGCAGTCTCCGTTTCTGATGCTTTTAATTTGAAAATTCAACTTTGTTAAATACCCGCAAGTGGAGGAGTTTATTTGTAGGCACAAGTTCTGCTTTCTCATTTCTCAAGATTTAATAAAAAGGTTATTTAAACCTTTTAATATTTGGTGTCATATTTCAGACGAAGCGATATTTCACTTGTTTGTCTAATAGGGTCTGAAAGTCTTTGAGTTAATATTATACAAATAAGACACTATATATTTACGCAATGGCTAACACCATCGTGTTTTAAGCAGATTATAACGAAATTTAAGAAAATTTCGTTAAATAAATTTAAATAATAATAATTATTAACTTAAGTAGTTTTTGACGTATAACGAATATTATAAAGGGCGAACGTAAAAGTATTATGTTTTATTTCAAATTTCGGAAAAAGCAGAAATTTTGTCAAAATGCTATACAGATGTTTGGCATGGAAAATGCTATACAGATGTCAATCATTACCGGTGCAGAGTAATTTTTTACGCATAATTTTGGTTATGCTTGTTAAGAAGAAATTGACATCAAACGAGTTCTGATTTTAGAGGTATATTTAATTATTATTATCCTGTTTTACGTAAAGACATTTTCCCTTATTTCCTTGGTTGGATACTCCATCAATTGTGTAAATTACAAATAAGAGAAAGCAAATGTATTATTGTAGTTTTAAAAGAAGAAGACATTCTGTTCACTAGTTCTGGATGTCCTCCTTTAAAACGAATAAAAATTATTACTTTTTTACCCTGCAGTGAATAAAAATTACTTTCTTATTTTTATGATTGAGTTGTTAATCTTGGCTTATTCCTGTTACTTATGTAAAGCGCATAAATTTATCAAAATTATTATTATAAATTTCAATGAGGTATTTATTATTTTCAGTAATTCATATATTTCAGTATTTTCATACAGGGTGATCAGCAAATAAGCCCTGATTTCAAAATTAAATATCTCTACAACAAAGATCGATAGAATTATGCGGTAAACTGTAAATTTATTAGCAAAACTGTAAAATTGGTGTACAAAAGTTTAGAAAATTTAGTTACGGAAATCGTTAACAAATGGCGCTTTAATCGCAATGACCTATCAATAGCCTTTAAAATGGGCTTCGAGGTCGAAAGTGATCAGTACGCCTGTTGGCTAGTGAAAAGAGGCTTGCGTAGAAAGTTTAATAATGTATTCCATTGAACAACGTGTTTTTTTTGGTTCTGGAATTTCACCGATTAGAACACAGTCCTACGGCAACATGTCGCAGTTTTCAAAACCAATCCAATGGTCCAGTTGGACCCGATACGAAAATCATTCGCATGCTCTTCAAAAAATTCGAATGGACTGGCAGCGTGGCTGATGGTCGAAAGGGACATGTTAAGCCTAGGCAAACTGTAGTCACTCCTGAAAATGCAGCCAAAATTTCTGGAATTGTTCAGCAAAATCCTAGGAAAAGCATCCGACAGATTGCATCAGAGACAGGTTTTAAGTACACGAGCACGCAAAAAATATTAAAAAATAGCCTATGGCTGTTTCCATACAAAATCCAAAGTCATCAGGCCATACCCATGAAAGCTGTGCAACAAAGGGTTGACTTTGCGAATCAGATTCTAACAACCATCGACAATGACAGGTTTGATGTGAGCTGCATCTGGTTCACAGATGAGGCACATTTTCATTTGAATGGAATCGTTAATAAACAAAACTGGAGATTTTGGGGTTCCGAAAATTCGCATTTGTGTGAAGAGAAAGCACTGCATTCGCCTAAAGTTACTGCATGGGCTGCGGTATGCGCCAGAGGTATTATCAGATTATCAGGCCCTTTTTCGTACGAGAAACGATAACAACTGAACGTTACGTTACAATTTTGGAACAATTTGTCAGCACTCAACTAGCGTTGGAGGATCGAACAGGTATTGACTGGTTCATGCAGGATGGGGCTTGACCACATCGAACAGATAAAGGTTTTCGCTTTCTTCATGAATACTACTTTGAGAATAGAGTATTAGATTATCCGCAATTTATTGACACAGAAATAGCTTGGCCTCCATATTCTCCCGATCTGAGTGCTTGTGACTTCTTTCTGTGGGGCGCATTGAAAGACACTGTCTATCGAAACAATCCCGCTACTCTAGATGAGCTTGAATTGTTATTGGCGTTGCATGCGATTCCATTTCCCTTGAGACACTGCAAGACGTGATGTCAAATTTCCTTGTTCGTTTATGCCACCTCATTCTTTCGAATGGTGAACATTTTGAAAAAATTGTATTTTGATTGCAAAGACTGCTTCCCTTTATTTTATTTATTTATTTTTTATTTTTAGACTCCTTTCAGCGAAAGAGTTTTCAGCGCAGAGAGCCATCTGTTAACGATTTTCATAACTAAATTTTCTAAACTTCTGTACACCATTTTTACAGTTTTGCTAATAAACGTACAGTTTACCGCATAATTATATCGATCTTTGTTGTAGAGATATTTAATTTTGAAATCAGGGCTTATTCGCTGATCACCCTGTATCTTATCAAAATAAAAACAGCCTGCACAGGAAGAAAGTGGAGAAAGTAATCTCCAGCAATATCAAAATTTGTAAAAGAAATGCTTTAATTGAAAGTAAGAGCGAAGAGTTTATCTGTCATACATTGCATTTTGTGAAAAGAAAATCAGGACAACTGATGTCCCTAAAACATTATTTAGGGACAGTGAATGCTTTCATCAAAAACTGAATTTGACCCAGAAAACCGAGACTTTGACAACTCTGTTCTAGGCTAATCTACGTATTACTGGCCATTGATTTTCAGTTTTGATTTTCATTGCATTATTAAGGCTAAAAGATATTTCTCCCGTCTTCTTAGCGTGCCTTCGTGGTGTAGTGGTCTGTATGCTGGGTGCGTATTACAGGGGTTCGTGGTTCGATATCTGGGGAAGAAGTTGCTCAATTTTCATCTTTCCTGCTTCCAAAATACCTAATGTTCCTACAAAGCAGTCTTTCATTAATTCAGGGTTTCTCAAAGCATTCTACATCTGAGTTCGCCTTACTTTTGTGCTGTTGGATTGGCTTAAAACAATTTATTAGTGTTTCAATTATCTTATATTACATGGCCGTCCCGTTCCATACAGGGTGTCCATAAACATTTATCCTGATTACAAAAACTCGACAATTCATGATAATGAAACATTCATTGAACCTCAAATGATAAACTATCAAAATGTATAGTAATATTGAAAACGTTTAATAACTTTTCCATATGCACACGTGGTTGCATGAAACTATCCAACCGGTACTCAGTTTCACGTCATATACTCTTCAGCATTTCTGGTGTGACTGTGTGAATGGCGTTTGTGATGCGTTGTCGCAAGGTCACGATAGCAAGAACTATTGCGTAGTACACAATATCTCTAACATCCCATCAAAGATTGAAATCTAAGTGGAACAGAACCCCATCTGCCTATCCACCGATTTCAAAAAGTTAAGACAATCACGAACGGGAATGGCTTAACGAGGGGAAGCGCCACCTTATTGAAATCTAATATTCGGTTGCATATCGTGTAGCCAGGGAATGACATAGGTAATCAGCATATTAATTACACATTTACTTAAGTGAAATTTTAAGAAGAACAACTGGTCATTCACGCGATCACTTATTACAGCACATGTGCAGCTTTCAAGAACACATGACTTTCATCAATCCGGTTCAACAAGAGGTTTTCAAAATTTCAGTTTCAACCTCGTTTGCACTTTATTTTATATAGTATATTCCGTGACAGTTAAAGTGGACACGAAGCCTGTCTAATTGATTTCTGTAACGATCTTGTGAATGAGGTTTGAGCCACTTGCATTGTCTCGTTAGAAACGAACGGTCTTCAACTGCTTGTTATTTTGTAAGGGATTCCATTGCTCACAAGTTGAACATCGTTGATTTAAATAGGTGGTAAATAAATTTCCCATTAGGTGGTGTCTTTCCGTACGGTGTTCGAGAAATTCGCTGCACGGTTATTGAAGATTTTATTTCTGCAAGCCATACAACACATTTATCAGGAAGCCATTTTCTCGCTGAACTCAAACAGCGATTCTAGCGGCAAACGTGGTGTACGTGACACTACCGCAAATTATTTCAAAGATTCCAAGGGCACCAGGTACGAAAAACAGGCAATTAGAACAATCAGTATGGGTGTTGCAAATCAGGGTAACCAGAGTAAACATTTATAGAAATTCTGTACATTTAATTTTGTGATCTCAACTACATCTGATTCATCACAGGCTTGATAAAGACTCTGAATTGAAGTCCCGTTTTCACAAATTCTTTATTTGTATACCACCGAAAATCTTTTACAGTACTTTTTTCTTTCAAAGATTCTTCATTTTTTTGAACTGTACATGTCTCAGACTAGTATACGAATTCAGAGCTGATTATAATTTTACTAACTTCTGTTTTAGTTTTCTTTTAAAATCAGTTTAATATTATTTCATGAAACATTTAAATGTGTGTTAGATGCCGCATTTCTTTTGTCTATTTATGGTGCAATAATATTAACAACATTGATGAGAGTTAAGACAGGAAAAACTATTAATTTTCTGAATTCCTAAGTATCTAAGACAGATATCAGAATTAAAGAAGCTTATTTTAGACATGTGAGTATTCTGATCATTATATGAATGCCATCTGCAGTTGCTCTTAGAATCATATCTTTTAATTACTTCTCAAAGATATAATGAGAGGAAAGAGTCTGTCTCTTTATAATAGTTTTGAATACCATTACTATTGAGTTCAAACATCATTCTTGATTTTTATCGAACTTGAAAGGCTATCTTCAGTTTGAATATTTAACTCTGTTTTTCCGTAGAAAAGTTATGTCTAACAAGTTTGTTTATTTTTAGTCCTTTTCATACGCGTCATAAGTAGTTTTGCCCTTATGTTGCTCTATACCTGTGAAGAAATTATTATTAATTAATATTGATTACTATCGAAATCCTCACTACTATAAGATTTGTCGTTGGTTAACTGTGAATCATTTATTTCTGTATCTGAATTGATTGCCTACTATTTCAGTTTAAACACAGGAGACAATTTGTTCAAAAAATATTCGACAATATATCTACAACATATTCGACAGTATATGCACAATACCATACCATGTAGGTTTATTTGTCTAAAGCTGAAACACAGAAGTGATCACATCTTCTGTGCGTTAAGAATTATGTTTCGTCATTTTTACACCTAGGTTTCTTGAATCGAAGAATTTTGCACCTATTTAATTGCGATGTGATTTAACTGAAGCAACTGCAGTATTAATAGGCATAAAAAAGAAAATGTGTTGACGAAAGATTTACTTAATAACGTTAAGGATTTGTTTCGAGAGAGGAGAGACTGGAGGAAGAAAGTCTTTAGCATCTAACATTTCTTCTTATACTAGCAAACTGGGCATTTATTTAGGGAGCAAACTCAAAGCTCATACATCCTGAAAAAGAAGAAATATTTTAATTTTAACTCAAATATTTAAAATAAAAATATTAATAATTAATTATTTTTAAAACTGAAGATTAAAAAATTCTTCAAATTAAAATTTTGAAATAATTATTCTCTCCATATATTGGAGTAAAAAGCATTTGTTTCTGTGAATATGCACCCTAAAATAATATAACGTACTATATTTAATAATTTTCCTCAGTAAAAGTATTATTTTCAAAATATTGCATGTACCTTCATTCTAAGCTATTTTTCTAATTGTAGAATCTTATTTATCGATTTTCAGTAGCTCTGCTACGTATCCTTGTATATGTTGTAAATAATATTATAATTTCTACTCTATAGATCCATCTTTCTTTTCTATGAACAATAATTTGTGTAAAGAAAGAAAATCAGGGGGAAAAATCTGAAACGTTTCAGATTTTAAATTACGTCCAAAGGGGCGTTTTTTTAACGTTTTGTGTGTCACCTTTATTTATTAAATATAGTGTTCTTTTCGCTTAAGCAATAAAATTCAGTTCAAAAGCAATGTCGCAAAATAGTTTTAAGATGAGCATATCTTGAGAATTTCCGATACAGAGACTAGCACATTAGAGATAAAAATATGTTTTCTGTATAACGTTTCCATTGCTCGCTTTGAAATCCTTGAATTTGTTAATCAAAGATTCATTAAAGTTTTACAAAATATGAAATCGATAATAAAACAAATTCCAAATTTGGTCTTCCACATGCCCATATTCACAGGAGGATTACGTCATTCAAAATTCGATGGCTCTATGTACCGTTGTTTTATCACAATGCGAGAAATATGCATCCATATTTCTCGCATTGTGATATAAAAAATGTGATATAAAAATATATATATCGCATGTGATATAAATAATATCACATGCGCATGTGATATAAAAAATACCAGGAAAAATTTAATTGGATCATATTTATTGGAGACACATCATATTAAATCTACTCAATATTTTTCACACATTACACATGTTCAATATAAAATCTTTTTGACACGTGACACATATCCAGTTCGAAGGAGCGAAGGTAAAATATTAAATTGTTTTTGACACTGATGAACGTAAAGTTTGCCTTTTCTGTGCCATAGCATCAAAATTCAAGCACGTGTGGATCTATGCCGCATGGTCATAAGTATCTTACACGCAGCATCTATAATGTGTGATCAGAAATTTGGCTAGTTCAGATTTAATTTTATGAATCACAGGAAAATATGCGTCAGTTAAACTTTTTATTATCATTTGTAACAGGGTTCTTTTCGAATTTAAGCAAAGATAATTTGAGATCTTAAAATTATTTCAAAGACTCTTTAGACAGAATGAATAAAAGAATGAGCATACAACGAAAATTCCTCTTAATTTCTTTCTTTACAAGAAATATAAGACATTTCTTGAAAATATTTTGAAATATAAGAAATATCTACATAATGTAGATAGAGGTACTTTGAAAAATAATGGGAAAAGTACTCAAGAATAAATGCAATTTGTATTTTAGTCACAAAATAGGTGATTAATGCTATATTTATTGTTTCTATAATTTATTATATGCAAACGATGTTAACTTAATTATTAGAACAAATGATTATCAATAAAAATTAAAATTCTATATTATTTATCTATAATTAACCACTTTTCTATAGACTGCCTCCGAAGTTTGGGAATAAATTTGATGTCAGATTAAAAATTATTAATGCTGTGGTTGCCGATATATTTAATTTTTTTAAAAACCAACATAGTATAAAGTGCTGCCACCTATCGGTATTTATTATTAATATTTTGACTGTTGACCATGTTGGGTTGATCAACATGATCAACTGGGGTTTTAACCTAAATATAGTGATTGCTCTTGGCCACTGGCGTTTAATTATGAAAAAAGCGCAGACTGCCGTCCATTAACGGCAAGAGAAGTATAGCTGGTAATGGAAACTGGCAAGCAGAAATGAATGCTAAACTGGACGTTGGTACAAAGTGGCAGTAACAGCAGGAAATGATGGACCATAGGGTTGTAGCACTGTTGCCCAAATAGTACTGGACGGCTAGGAAAACAAGTAGTAGATACCCAAACAGTATTGGGCAGTCACACTTATTCAAGTACTGGGCGGTTTAAAGTCAGATAAAGCGTCCCTTTGTTTTTAAGTGAAGCCGGACAGCATTGACATACTTCGAATGACTGTTCTCGTAGCTACCATTTGTATTGGCCACAGGCATTTAGCAGGTGAACGGAACTTGACAAGATGAAGAAAATCCAAACGGATCCTTCACAATTCAGAGAAACGACAAATGCAAAACATGGTTCAAAATGCTATACAACAACAACAAAAGTTCAATACTACTACAAAACTACACAAATTCAACCCATACAACAGAAAATCAATGTACGCAATATACAAGTCCGGTTAGTGGTGTACATTGCTAATCTCAAAACAAGCCCTAATTTCGTGAGAAATGTAAGAGCGTTCTGTGATTTGCTGTTCAATACAAAAACGTAAAGATTACGTGAATCATTTTGCTGAAAGCGTGAACGTGATGACCTGAAGTAAATTCATAAACTTTATGTGGAGATTCTTGCAGTTAAGATGAGACCTTCTGTCGAACTTTTACGTATTCCAAAATAGCAACGAATGTCAATAGCAGTTATCATTAAATTTTAGGAAGGCATCTAGTTATAGATTTAGATGTTTGAGAAGACATCTAGTTGTATATTTAGATAATGTAAAAGGTTGTTGAATACTGTTTTGACATGTTAAATATAACTATAAGGCCTTTTTTTAATTTTATGTTCTTATTTTGCAGTTTACAGGTGTGTTATTAAATTTACTAAAAATGCATTCCTTAAGCACTATGACGAAATCGAATAGTAATTCAAGCTGTCGCTTACGATTTATAGAAGGGAATAATACTTATCTATACTTAATTTATATATACACTGTAAAGACATTAGGCCATTTCGAAGCAGGAGAGATGAAAAATGAGGAATACTCTCGCCGGGACTCGAAACACGGACCTCTCGAATACGCGCCGACTGTAAAATTTTGCCCTAGTGAAATCAAAATGGATGTTGGCTTCACTGTAAAGCTTTAACGCATTCTAAGATATACACTGTTTAAAGATGCACTGTTACAGAGATTACTCCAATAAAATCTCACCATTTGACAATACAGATTCAAATTTCACTGATAATAATAATAAAAAATAGATTAAAAAATACAAATCACGCTTTATTATAGATTAATGTAAAAATTAAAGCGATTTTTTGAATTCAATACTACCATTCTAAAATGTCATGTAACCAATATTTTCATAAAAAAGCAAAGTAATATCGTTTACATATAACGAAAATTCCTTTAGGTGACCACTAGAGCTTAATTTCTAAAATTAGAAGTGCCGGAGCCCTATGAAAGACTGAGGAACGAAAGAAAAAATAAATAAATAAAATAGCTAAAGATTAAAATAATTAAATTTAAATTAAGAGAAATCTAATAAATGATTAAATTAATTTTAAATAGTTAAATAGAAAAAAAAATATCGGATCTTGTCTTATTTGGGGCACAAGCTGGAATTACAATTCCACTTCGTAGCTAAGAAGCAGCTCAGCCGATCTCCATCTGAGTTTAAGCGCTGATTATACGTATAATGTACTATTCCAAGGGATGACAGGCACCACTCTTTTTTTGCAGCACATCAAGGAAAAAAGATAAAACGATTCTTATTAAAATTCACCACATGACAGTGCCTTAAGAAATCTAAACTCATTTTAACACAAATACATTCAACTTCAATAGGAGTAATGCATTTAAAAAAAAAAAAAATTGCACCTTCTATATTAAATTCACCACACTACAAAGCTATGAGAAATGTAATATCATAGTCACACAAATGCAATGCACTTCATAAACAATAATAGTCTTTTCGATACTCCTACTGTAAACAAAGGGTATAAAGGTGTACTCTCAAGCCCAGTGCGTGGGGCGTGGTACATAATGCTTATATTCAGTCGGTTCTAACTGTTGCGACCGCACAAAGTGGCTCGGCTTAGGAGACTAGTGAGAATTCTAGAAACAGTATGAGGACATGGAAGGAAATTTAAACGGAAAAGTGTATCTTTGAAAATAAAGAGGGAAGAGTTCAAGGTTTTCTAATCGATATGTCCTGTCGATATAATTCTAGCCGTCAAGCAGAACTTTTCCCAGAATACGATTCGGTAACAAGGTGAGAATAAACGTAAGACTTCTCTGTTCAAGTGACAGGCAGTGCTCTCCTTGTTTGGTTACATCATTCAGAATGTCGACAGGAGCTGTGCAATAGGAAGTCACTAGCGTGGAACTTGCACGAACAGGGTACCACTTTTAGTATTTTGAGAAACACAAAATTTGCCCGCTCTCATAAATTCATTGCAGATACTGGAGAATAAGCTTTTGACATATGATTGGCAGGATTTTCTTTCCTCTCAAACTCTGTAGAAGGTTTGAGTTCGAGGGAAAGACACGCCTGCATTCAGAGGTTAGAGTTAGCTTTTAAAGCATATTTACTTTAAAAACACAATTTATCTGCTAAAATAGTGGTTCACTTACATAAAAGAAGTGCCAGAACCCTTTTATTTAGGACTGCTTGTGCGCTCCGGCTGAAATTATAATTTATCGCGAAAACTTAGAAGTACCGGAGCAGGGCTCCGGTGGGCTCTGGCGAACAATTTAAGCTCTGATGACTATTTTGATACTTTGATACATGGATACGGGTCAAAGTCAGCACGAACTTTATTGCTCTATTTCCTACACCTCAGATAATGCCCGGTTGGAGTAACCGTACATACAACTACCTGAGTTGAATTTAAAATTGTACCTTGACGATTTTGGGTTTCACTTTTCATCCATTCACACCTTTTCTTTAAACATTTTGGTCGTTTCCAAGAATTTGACTATCGGTGATGTTCGATACTTGTGCCCATTTGTGTTCATTGAATGGCCAAGAAAGGGTTCACTATATTACAGCATAAGAATTTGTTAACAGAAATCATAACTGAAGAATAAAAAAATAAAATTATATCTTTTCCAAATATTAAGGCTAAGAATGCTATTAATCTTTGTTTAGCTTAGACAATTTACAATAGATGGCAGCACTAAAACTATTTGTACCAACCTTAATTTAATACAGTTTTTGGTAGTCACTAAACATATTTTGTGTTAAAATTAGTTGTTATTAGAATTTAAAAAGCGGAAGGGGAAACTCCAAGCAGAAGAACAAAAAACATAAAACAGATTTAATATAATAATGATTTCTTTGCAGAACTTCGATAAGCACGTTTTCATCATAATATCACGCCTATTTTTATAAATATATTTTCTTATGATTATACCTTATACCAATAGATGGCAGCATTAGACATATATTTTAATGGTTTCTGATGGATAGCCAATGTTTCATGAGCTACTAACATTGAGAAGAAGCGCATTTTACAATAGTATACTTCCTTCAGAAAATTTTCCATATTTAGGATTACTGTGAACATAAATGTCATCTGCGAAATAAATTAAAATAGTAAACTGTGTTTCCTGTAAATATTTTTAAGTGCGAGTTTTTAAAATATGCATTAGTAAAAGCTACTAAATAGCGTAAAAAATGAATAAATATTATTACCCATATTGATAAAACTGCCTTAATTTTCAGGTACGGTCTGATCTTTATCCAGCTCATACTTCATAGAAACCTTTAAGAAACAAATAAATATAATTTAGACCTTGGATTTTTTTTTCTCTCTTCTTTTTATACTGCATATAAAAAATTTGTATTCAAACGCTCAGTTACTTAATGTTAAGCTTAGCATAAACGCTTAGTTACTTAATCTTAAGCTGAACATATAGGAATGTTCAGCTTGACCAGGAAAAATATGTTAAAGCCTGAAACGTGAACAACTGACTTTTTATGCTAAACACAAACTTATCGCACACCTTAATATATCTATTAAGAATTAAAGTATAGATAGATGATGCTAATTTTTGTATAAAAAAAAGAAGAGTAAAGTGTAGATATTAAAGCACTTACGTATTCGTAAGAGACACGGTATTTTATGGGCCCTAAGTAATCAGCACAGTTGGTACCCCCAAATTAAGCATATGAATAATTCAAACGAAGTACACCTTTATTTAGCTATCCCTGTGAGAAATTCTTAGTCGGAGATCTCTAAAACTCAGCACCTTAGATGGCTTCTAATGTGACTAATGTTTGTAGGCGGTGCTTATGCGTATATCATGTGAGATAATTACCTCTGTAGAGAAAAGGACCCAGCTAGCGAAGTATAGTGTGCAGATGAAAGACATACAGCTATACTAGCTTTGGAAAGAGAAGGGTGAAAACGATGGAAAGCATTCGACGGGTACTTTTTCAGATCGTGACGGCCTAAAGCTAAAAGAATTTAGCCACACGAAATAAGAAATCGAACAACTTATTAAACATCAATTCACTGAATTAAAAAATGCAAATGGTAAAATGTAGAAAAGGAAAACTGAAATGAACTTGCTAAAAATTTTGAAATGCATGGTATTAATATTATATCAGGATATCAGGAAAAAGTGATGATTACGTATAGCAAAAAACATTAAAGTCGTTTGCAAATAAGTATATATACAAAACATACACACATACACACGTAATGCAAATACGAAATTTAATAATTTATTGTCCCCATATTGATGTGTGAATCAGATACCGCATCTAAAGAAATTATAAAATTGGAAATTAAATCTCAGTGTACTCTTCCTCCTTTTGCCTTGGTGTACAAACTAAAAAGTGACGTACAAAACAGAAATAGACGAAAACAGAAGAAAAAAAACTTGCAGATCGTGTTTATAGCTTGGTACCGACCATACCTAAGCAATTCTTCCTCCTGGTACTGACAGTCAGTTTCCAAATGAGAATGGGATCTTTTTCGTGTAGTTATTTAGCTAAAACAGAAGATCCGTAAGCAATTTATTCTTGTTGCTCCTCTTGATGAAGTGAACTGACTAGTGGTAATTTGAGATGTTTTCCCATGTACCGTAATTATGAAACAGTTTATTTTGCAAAGTCCGTCACAAAAGCAATTTGGCCAAGCAGAGCCCTTGCGTGAATATTCTAATCATACAAATACATCTACTTCGGAATGGCTGGAAACCCAAACGAGGAAGTATTTAATGTATATTCTTTGTTCGCATGTTGAATTAGCAAAAAAAAAAAAAAAAAAAAAAAAAAAAAAAAAAAAAATAAAATTTTTGAAAATAAAGCTACCAGCTGAATATAGTCTGCGAGAAAGTGTTTCGACTTCCTGTTATGTTCGAACTCAATACGTTAAGCCAGCAGCAATGTGATAAAATAGCAGAATAATATTAAGAAAATATCGTTGATTGAATTTCCACATCGAATTCTTTTCCAATATCCATAAAAAAGAGAATTACTCAAAGAACTCAGGCAACACTCACGGTAAAACAGAAAGGTTTGCCATGTTTATTTATTAAATTTTTGTATTAGAACTTTGCAATATTGAAAAATATAAAAGGAATAAGCTTTGCGTTCATTACGTTGAATTGAAATTTTTATCAAAAGTCATGCGCTGAAATGTAACACTTGATGTTAAAAAGGAAGCGCTTGTGAAAGCTTTTGAAATCTGTCCATCCGGTTTAAAAAATAACTCACAAAATGGCCTGCGATGCTATATATAAAATTAAAGACATGTGATAATCACACATTGGAAGATTTAAACAGACGATTAATGTAAGTCCAATATAAAGAAATCAGGTACAAATAGTTTTTGTTTTATCTTAAAACATTCTATTCAAAAGTGTAATTCTAAATTACTAGAAATGCAGTTGCAATAGACAGAAATCAAACATGAATGCCAAAATAATGTGGTGAAAAATAAGATTGCTTATGTCAGTAAAATTATGTTTATTTAAACAATAAAATTAATTAAAAAAGTTATTTAATAGCAAGAATTAATTCTGCAATTTCGTATTTAATAATCAATTATTATCGTACTCAGTGGGGAGACACGAAAATTTTAACAAAAGGTTAACACTTAGAAAAAATGTCAAATTCTAATGAAATTCTTTACTTTATAAAAAAAGAAAATATAAAAATTTATGCATAGCTAAAAAAAATACGAAATTGAAATAAATTCCTAACTATCAGGTATTATAATTCCTGTAGGAAATTATTCATCAAGGCCAGGTATTTTAAAAATTCCATATTTAGTAGTCGGTTTTAAAAACCTTTATATTCATCACTCCATTCAATAAATAGCATAAAGCTGGACAATTCCTTCACATGGCGAAAGCCTTTCGTTAACGACATGATACAGAAACCCGACTACAATATTTTTGCACCCCTCATAATTTAACCACCTTAATAATTCAGGTAAAATTATGTTTTAATTAATTGTTGCTTTTGAGAGCAATTAAGCTGGTACGCTCAGAATATTTCGTGCCCAAGGTAGCTGATTATATCTCATATGCTTGGAGCCAACCCTGATGCTCCCTATCAGGCTTATAATGCACGTCTGATTTTAAAAATTTTGACACCTAGATCTTTATCAGTTTTATTTAATCCCCTATGTTTTTTTTTTTTTTTTTTTTTTTTTTTGTAGGAAGAAGAAGGGTTACTAATAAAAAGGTAAAGCACCTAATTTATCAAGAAATGTTTTGAAATGACTCATTTCATCAATGTCCCAAGTAGCACGCCAATGTCGTAAAGATGTTGCTTACTGGTCGGGAGTCGTGTTGCAAAAACGTTGTTATATGTCGTCTTTAAGACGCCCAGATGTCCGCGAAACTTCCCTGTTTTGCAACCGTTGCAAAGACGTCTTTATAACGTCTTTGCAGATGAGGGTTTTGTGGCATAGACGTCGTTATTGCATCTTTCGCAGGTTATATTTTGGTTGTAAAAGCATCGTATCATGACGTCTTAACGACGCCTAAATGTTCACAAAAATCCACCTTTTTACATCAGTTGTGAAAATGTTGTTATTATGTCCTTGTGTTACATATTGATTTATGCAGAAAAATAAGCATAATAATTAATATATTTTCTTCTGTTTTAAAATTTTGTGTTCCTTGTATTTTTCTAAAGTTTAAATATTTTATCATTTCCTGAAAACCAGAAGATAATACAATTTTTTTCTCTTTAGACTAAATATACATAATTAGCAATAGTTTTAATTATCTTCAATACTTTATAGTTTTAAAATTTCTCTTTAGACTGAATATGCATAATTAATAATAGCCTTAATTATCTTCAGTACTTTAAACTATATTTTTAAATAACTTAAATTCTAAGTTACGATTATTAAGATTTCATCATTTTTTTTTCTCAAGTGAGAGTAAGTATGAAAGTAGTTATTATAAATATATAAAAATAATAGTAGGTTTTAAGTAAATAAAACTCAATTAGATATAAATAAAAGTAAAGATATATATGTGGGTAAAAGAAGAGCGTTTCTGATAACAGCATTATCACATTCATTTCTGTTAAACCTCACAGACATTGAAAATTGCCCCTGTCATGATAAATTAGGAAGAGGTTCTTAAGGTAACATAATCAGTATTTTACCTGAACTCAAATATAAATTTATTCGATTTCACAGTAAAAAATATAGCCATTAACTTCTATATCTCTAAGATATGCAATTGAAAGACTGTAAAGTAGTTAATAAATGGGATCAAAAATATTTCATACAAAAATGTACCTAAATCTAATAACTTCCCATATTCATATCTAAAATGAAAAAATAACCTAACAAACAGCATACAACATGAACTAGTAGTGTTTGAAAGTATAAATAGTAGAAGGAAGGTAACAGAACTAAAATTTCCAATTAATAAAAAAATATTTGTGTTTTTTAAATAGTAAGCAATTATTATGAGTGCAATAATTATGAATTGCAGTATTTACTAGTAATGCTGATGTTTCTTAACACAATGTATTTCGATCATATGGTAATTTATTTACTTATTTTTAGTTTCTACATTTTAGAAGAGTAGTATATTACAATGATTATTTCATGCACTTTTTATAATCAATAACTTTCCTTTTGTTACTGTACAGAAATAATTTAAATAACATAGTATACGATAGTAAGATAAGTACGTTAAAGTAAGCTCTTCGTTAAATAGCACACGATGAAACATTTTGTTTCTATTTATTATGAATTTCTTTGTTATCACAAGCACATAAAAAGTAAGCGAAGAGAATAGAATATACTTAAATTTAATAAAAAATAAAACCTAATTTCCAACATTCATTTATTGAGATAATCTAATAAACATACATAATGGCAATATTTAAAAAAAAAAAAAAAAAAAACACGAATTACATAGTATTTGGAAGAATAGATACCAAACGAAAAGTAATAAAACTGCAATTTGCAATCAAATAAAAAATATTTAGTCTTTTTTAATATTACACAATTAAATATCACATAATTATCGATTACAATATTTTATAGAAATGCTAATGTTTCCTTAACACTAGTTTTTCGATCATAGCTTTCATATACTGTTTAAAATCATTAATTTTTTCTGCATACTGTACAAAAGACAATATATACTATAGAATGGCATTATTATTAATTTTAATAATTAATTAATTGCTTATATTATAAATATATCTAATTCATCTTAATACATACATATCATATTACCAGTCATATTAAGTACTGGTACCAGTCCAATAATTACC